GGGCCTGTTTTTTTATCTTATAAGTTATCAAAGATTTTCTGAGCATGCAATTGTCCAGGTAGTTATATCCTTTATTATTTGTAGTCCAGTGTGCATGGTTCTGTATGTTTTGGGGGGGCACATGTATGTACACATGTTTAATTATTTTAGTGGCAGGTCTTTGGAACTGGTTATGTGCTCCTCTATATATGATTCCTAGAGAAGCCACTCTGGGTTAGCACATTCTGTTTGCATACTTCCTAATATTCTACTATTGATAGCATTAAAAACAATTGAAAAACTTATGGAAATTACACCATTGATTAAAACTTCGAAATTTGAATATAACTTTTTCAGGAGATGCTCTGTTTTCTTGTAAATGTCTATTAAAATAATGACTTAATCCAAGTTAGGGCACACAATGCAAATGAAGAGAAGACTATAAACATAGTTTTTTTTATGTATGATACAACATGCTGGGAAGTAACCGCTCCATCTTAAGAGAACTATTTCTTTAAGTTCTAAACTAAAAAAATAAATAAATAGACAAAGTCCTTAAATTAAAAGGGAAACTCCAGTGCCAGGAAAACAATCTGTTTTCCTGGCACTGCAGGTCCCCTCTCCCTCCCACCCCCCAATCCCCGGTTGCTGAAGGGGTGAAAACCCCTTCAGTAACTCACCTGAGGCAGCGACGATGTCCCACGTCGCTGCTTCTTCCTCCGCCGCCTCTCCTCCCTGTGATCCCACCCACCGGCCCTGATCTCGCCCACTAGAGGTGGAGTTATCCCTGCAAGGTAATTATTGCAGTTTATAAAAAAACTGCAATAATTACACTTGCAGGGTTAAGAATAGTGGAAGTTGGCACCCAGACCACTCCAATGGGCAGAAGTGGTCTGGGTGCCTGGAGTGTCCCTTTAATACTTTGTAAACTTTTTTTTTTTTAATGTACCAACATGTTCTGAATGTACTCGCATATATATGCAATATAAAAATGCTAGGTTAAATATCGAATATCATTTTGAAAATATTTCATTTATAAAATATTGAAATTATACTCATATAGGCAGCACTGGATTAATTCCTTTCTTGAGTGATCAAAACATATTTTAGTTAATATGATGCCAATTATCAAATATGGCTCAAGATACTCATAAGTATGTGGCACCTTCATATTATTTTACTTGTATTGAATATTTGTACTTTTTTGTTATTAAAAATTTATAAAATGTTGAATTAAACAATATTCATTTTTTAAATGTGCTAAATTGTTATTTAAAAATACAATAATAATCATGACAGACACACAGATCAATAAGCAGACAGACAGACAAACACATATACACACTGAAGTGGTTAATGTTCTGAAGAAGATTTGTAATAAGTTGGCAAAGGGATTATTCACCTATTGCACTGTGGTGCCTTGCGGATGGGTAATATGTTAATGATGCGTATATTGGCAGTTTGTCCCACAAATGTTGGCATGATAATAGCATGACATCACTCTCAGCCAATCAGAGTTTTGTTACCTGCAGTGATATATGGAGAAGGATGGACAATGACAATATAGGTAGTATGGTGAGCAATGATGTAATTGCTGTGTTGCTCATTTGTAAAGCCTAGTAAAGAACTGAATGGTCACCTCTAAAACGTCAATGTTGTCTTACATTTCTTCTTTTCTTTGTTGTGAATTGGGCAGTTTATTCAGAATAATGCTTTCAGTAAGTAGATATGATTGTCATTAAAAAGATAGGGCTGTAACAAGAAGGTGCATTCAGTTTTAAAGGGATAGTAAACTCAATAAAGTAATAGAAAAATCTTTTCAATTCCGGCAAAATGTAATAATTATAGCTATACACTCATCACAAATGCCTTAATATTGTTTATGCCTTTTTATTTTTTATTTTATGCTTTTCAATTGCAGTTTGTATTTTCATTAACTAGTAATTTTGTGCATGCTACATGCCTGTCAAAAAAAAAAAAAATCCACTCTAATAAGTGTTACATCTATCAATGCACATAAAATAACCTGCACTGTTACAAAAAATGTTTGTATTACTTTAAAAATTTTATATATTACTTTACACCATTAGTGCAATGATTAATGACCTATCAAATTAAATTAGATTTCCAAATGATTCGATACTGTTAGAAAAACTTTCCAAATGTTATATCTACATAAGTGAACATTACACCTCTTAGACTTTTTCAATATTCATCCTTGTTTCCCTTTATTGGTCATTCAAAGGATCTTTAGAATATGTGCCACTCTCATGGTCTCTTGAATTTCTAGACATAGCAATTACATTTTCATCTCACTGATCGGAGTGTATGGGGCATCATGAATGAGTCCAAAAGAATAACAAGCACTGTGCTCCATTCATTTCTAATTCAACAACTGAATGAATCTCAGAGATGTCTGAATATAGAGTATTGAAGGTGAAGTACATTAATACAGCTTGTTCACACATTGCAATGCTAATGCAGCCACTTTTAAATGACGTGGAAGGAAAAGATAGCACTACTAGAATAAATCCTAATTAAACAGCTACATTTTACTTAAAATGCAGTCCGGTTGCAGTTCATTCTGTGTTACAGCTTTGCCTGTGTTTTGATTCTGGACTGCCCTTATTGGTGGGATCAGTCTAATATGAAAATGGCATGGCACAAGTAAGCAAAACATTTTTTTGAGACCTGAGTGCAGTGGTGTAGCTAGAGCCTTTGCCACCCAGGCTGCCCCTGAGTTTTCTGCCCCTATCTTGACCCACATCATCTCCAGTGCAGTTGCGGACATCCATGACTGCACTGGACATACCTCTTTTAAGTACTTATCGCCTCTAGCCCAACACAGTTTACAATCTTTTCAAGCTTTTTAAAGATATACACCCAACAAATGCATGCCTATAAAAATCATGCATGTAATGCATTGGGGGGCATATCTACAAAACAGTGATTTTATGGGGGCAGAGAGTAACTGTCAAGGTGCAGGGAGAGGGGCTATTTGGGGTACTGGAGAGAGTGGGTCTGTGCAGGGATGGAGGGGGACTGTCATGGGGCAGTGGATGCAGGGGGGCAGTGCCGAAAGGAGCCATTCATCTTCTCTCTGCTAGAAATCCGAAGGACAGGAAAGCACAGGAAGTGACCTCACTTCCCATCCCTTTAGCCCCGCCTCTTCTCCTCACTTACTGCACTGCACAGAGGAGGCTTGGCAAGTAAATCCCAGGAGGAAGCATTTTCCAAGTAGGTGGATTGATCTCATAAGAGCAGGCATTAGGCTGCTAGAGTAGAACCTGCCACGAATCGGGTACATTAACGATGTGGCAGGCTTATGCAATGTGTGATCATATACTGTAACTTTACCCCCATTATTTTTGCCCATGTGAGGTGTTTTTAAATAAAACTATTACATTCTGTGAGACTTAAAATGTCAGTTTAGTGAATGAGTGCGCTGGATTTTATATGTTGTATGAATTGGCCACAGCGGCTCCCTATTATGTATGCATGTTCAATCGAGTGCAGCCCACTAAACAATAGAAAAAAAAATAATATATATATATATAATTACTTGAGATATGGCTAAATAGCTATCAAATTTACCTACAGGGCAATACATTAGTTAATTTAAGAAATGCAATGAAATGCAAATGAAGCGCTGTACCTACCCCCCTGTTTTTATCTAATTTAAGAAATGGTATAACTCAAAATCGGCATTCAAGAGGTAAGGTGTTTGAACTTAAGAATCCACTGTATTTCTTTTTTACCCAATTTAGTTATAAAACTTCCCCTGTCTCCAATCTTTATTAATCTTTACAATAGGGAAAAACTGAAGACCTTTGAGGTCAGTATTATGCATTATTTTAACCTGAATGCTAAACTGTTTTTCATTTTTATTAATATATTTCCAGTGCTTGTCTCTCACGTGTAAAGATCTAATAGGCCTGCCTACAATGTCCACATTGAGAAACAAGTGGTCAATTGTTTCAAAGAGTGTATGATGTCTTTTTATGGGGATCTTGAAAACTGGTATTATGTTGTTTCTTATTACCTGTCATTTTGCATTCTCTACATTGACCACAACTAAAAAAAACTTTATTTTGATGTAAAAAGTATTTTGAGTTGGTGTTTCTCTAAAATAATTTGTTACTAAACAACCATTTATATTTTTTTCCACCTCTAAAAATAACCTCCGGTACATCGCCTCACAACCGGAGCCGCGAGACACGCGGCCGACATCCAAGATGGCGAAAGATCAGAGGCAAACCAGACAGAGGGAGACCACCCAAACGAGCTGGCCCTGATAAGAGCAGAACTAGCATCCAGGATGCTGACAAAAGATGACACTGGCAAGCTAGCCCAGGAAATATGTGCAGCCGTGAAGAGCTGACAGGCCTGCGCACAGACCTGACAGCGCTGGAGGAGAGAGTGGATGAGATGGAGACAGTGGCAGAGGAGTGTACCCAGCAGCACCACGCCAAAGAGACAGCGATCACTCACCAAGGTACCCAACTGCTGACCCTCAGACGGCAAGTTGAGGACTTGGAGAACTGCAGCAGAAGGAATAACATCAGGGTGAGAGGCCTACCTGACTCGGCTGCAGCCCCACTTGCTGCCACCCTTGAGGAACTGTTCAAGCAGGTATTGGGGACGGATGCACACAGGGGGATTCACTCCCCACAGGCGCACAGAGCCCTGGGTCCCCCCAGACAAGACGGTAGCCCAAAGGATGCCATCTGCTGCCTGCATGAGGGGGAATTAAAGGAACGGATCATGGCGGCCGCCAGGGAGAGCTAGGTGATCAGATTCCGTGAAGCAAACATCACCCTGTTTCAGGACCTGTCTCCACTGACCCTAGATGCGAGGAGAGCACTGCGCCCCGTCACTAGTGCGCTACGAGACAAAAAGATAATGTATCGCTGGGGATTCCCCTTTAGCCTCCAAGCTAAACAAGGCTCTACATGGGTAATGGCGCGCTGGCCGGAGGACATACCGGGCTTCCTCAGAGCACTACACCTACCATTGATTAGAGTTCGAAACTGGATAACGGAGGAGGCGCTGGCAGCGAGGAGAGACCTGCTGGTCCCTCTACAGGAGCCCGCCACAGCAGCGCCGCTGGGGCGGCCCAGCAGGAGCAGAGGAATAAGAAACATAGAAACACAGAAGAAGCCATTGGCGAGAGGCAAAGCTCAGGTAGTTGGTGAGTGAACTGTACAAGGAGCACACAGTGGGACTGGGGGAATGAGAGGTTGATCGGACGATTTTGGGAGGGGGGACCTGGGGACACTTAGAGGGCGCCGGATCACAAACAACAGAAGGGAACTGAGGGACACGACGGCCTGTCTGGGCACGGACAGCCCAGAGCCCAGAACCAAGCTCAGACTGGGAGGGTGTCGGGTGGGAAAGAACGCCAATTTGGGACTCCTTGAAAACAACTCAGAGGGGGGGAACGCCACGGCTCTGAGCAATAGCTTGACAACAGAGAGCTATGCATGGACATGGGATCAAGGACTAAGGGGCTGCAGAGCATGGGACTAGAAGAATTTTGCACTAACAAGGTTTGATATATTAGGCAAAGTCAAACATCTCAAACGCACATACACAGGATATGGAGACGCGTAGCAACACGGGGGAATTGGGGGAGAGGTACAGACAAGGACGAGAATGATATACCCGACCAGGATGGCACCCAGTTAACCATGTAAACCCCACAGGGATAAGCGGGACGGGGGGGGAAGAGATAATGGGGAGACGCAGGACCGGATATAATAGCCGAAGAGAGAATGTAGGGATGAGCTAGACCCCCAGAGACCCGGACCGACCACCCAAGTACCACCCACAACAAAGCACTGGGACCCGGACACCCGCACTCATCTGAGCACACAGACGCATGATTTTGCACACAACACGGGAGACATATAGGAGACCCCCAGATAACCCCGCAACCAGACGGAGACAAACATAAGGGACCGACTCCCAACCATACTGCCATAGACACAAACATGGACGCCCCACATGCAGGCCCCAAAGGCCCCAGCACTGCTCCGGTAACCTCACTCACCAGATAATGCCAAAGTGTGCCCAGACATCCAATGGCTACTGACGGCCATCGCAACTTAGTGCAACATAGGCCACCCGGCCGGGGAGGCGGACACACTACTACTACACTTGTTAATAGTTATAACAAAATCAGTTACACAATCAATTAGAGCTACACTAGCGAAATGAAAAGAGGCACAGACACTGCTCCATGTGTGACAGCGCGCACCCCAAGTGACAGGTGCCTACCTGGCCCTGGTGTGGGCGGAAGAGACTGCCCCGCCTCGGGGACGTCACACTCTGCCAGACCACAGGCACCAAGTTACTGTAACCTCCCGAACCGGGGAGAGACGAGTACTGCTCGGCACCACGTTGAGTGGGTCCCCAAGCAGGGGACACGACATAAACTTGAACACACAGAAAGACACACGCAGATGCCAGCGCCACCAGACCCAACCTCTGCGTCGGGCAAAAAAAGGGCTCACTATACTTTTATTCTTTTAAATTTTATTATTATCATATTTAAATTTCACTTTATTTTATTTTTACTCCTTTTTAGTTGGCTTTTTGCCATCTATTACAGTGAGCCTTTTTTTTGCCTTCCCCTGTTGGTAGACACTAGTCTTTTTAGTTTCTTTTTTTCGTTTTCTCCTAAGTTCATAAGGTCGCCATAATAAGAAACTACACTACCCATGCGGCTTTGCGGCTAAACTTCCGAAACCCGGAAGTGCCGCAAATCTCGCACCTTTCCCACCCTCGTTTTTAATATAACTTTATCTAATATGTTTTATTGCACTATCAACTATCTATATATAATATAGATTGCACATTTAATAAAAAGTTATTTTATAGCTTTGTCCATAAGGCCGCCGTAAAATTTAATTTAACCTTACCTAGTAATTTTATTTTCCTGGCTATTTGTCATGGCAGCATTACTTATAGGTAGCTCCACCCTCTAGCCAGATAAGGACAGGAATTAACCAATACAAAAAGAGAGAGGGAGAGAGAGCTGTACGTATAAAAGGTCCCTCCTCTTTACATACAACAATCAAGTTTAAAACCAATGAAAGGGTAGGAGACTGATACTGCCTTGATGAGTAAGCTTATTTTTGAGATAAGCACAATGAAGCAGCTTCCCCTCTGCAAAGGCCTGAGGGTAGGACAAACAGTTTGTTGGATTTTCTGAATTCCAATGTGATCAATAAGTATTTGATGAAACACTCTCTGACATTTATTTAATTGAGTTTGACTTCTTCCAAGGTGGAAGGAGATGGGTAAAAAGATAGGAGTACCACTTTTTGAACGAGATGAAAATTTGACATTACTTTCGGAAGAAAATCCTCTCTGTAGGCTTTTAGGTACACTCTGTTGTGGAATATGCGTGTACGTGAATTATTGCTGGAAAATACCTGTAATTTTTAAATTCATGTGGCTGTTGAAATAGCACACAGTTTTGTGGGTAATGTGCTAAATAGTAATGTTTGTGAGAGGAGCAAATTGAGGCTCGGTAAGTCCCATGGAGGGGTAGTGTTTCATGGAGGGCATATTCGCATTGATGCCTTGAAGAAGCAAGATATGATGCAGTTGGAAGCCCATAAAGTATGACAGAAAGCTAAAAGTGCTAAGGGCTGGACTTTCTAAGACTTTTATCCAGGCCTGCCTACAATAATTCCAGAATTTGGAGATGACAAGGATGCTGGAAGTCGAAGGCTTTATCTCCTGCCCAGTTTTTGAAAGTGTCCTAAACAGACCAACAGCAAGATGATGCTGAAGGCATCAATAAGAGTATTGCTTATGGATTTTGACAAGCCCTATATTTGGAGTAACCTCCTTTCAAGAGCCATGCCCCCCGGTTTTAGCTGGTGGTGTTGGGATAAGTTGCTGGTTAGAAGATCTGAATATACTGGTAGTTTCCAAGGAGGGGCTTGGGACATTTTTAGGAGAAGTTTGCACCATGGTCTCCTTGGCCAGATGGGGATGATGACTATAACCTTCTTCTCTTTCATTCAAATCTTTTCCAGCACTCTGGGAAAACATACCCCAGATCGAAGTTCCAGGTTTGAGACACCGTGTCCTGTCCAAGAGCTTGAGGGTCTGGTGTTAGAGAAAAGAACATTGGAACCTTTGAGTTCTTGTGGTTTGCCATGAGGTCAATCTGGGGCATGCCCCACTTTTCTGTCAGGATTTTGAACACTTTTGGTTTAAGACTCCATTCGCGGGTAGAATGCGGGTTCTGCTGACATAATCTGCCAGGAGGTTTTCTGAACCTGTGAGGTCATTAGAGGAGATAGCTCTTGGAGAAGTTGATTGTTTCTTGTTCCTTCCTGATGATTTATATAAGCAGCCACTGCTCTGTTGTATGCTCTTATTAAAATCCAAAAACTTTTAATGTCCTGTTTGAGCTTCCTGATTGCATATTTGATGGTTCTGAGTTCCCGTAGATGTATATGAAGAATTTGCTCTGATGGTTTTCAGGTTTCTTGAATTCAGGTTGTCTCTGTGTATGCTCTTATAGGACTGGCATCTGCTCTTCTAGGGTAAAACCTTTCTGGAAATTCTTCAGTCATAGACACCACCTCAATTGAGTTTTCACTTGATGAGGAATACAAATGGAATGGTCATGTTTGCTTTCCTTGTTGTTGAAATGATTCAGAAAGCTCATCTGAATTAGTCAGGGGAGTTCCATTGTGACCAGCAGACTAAACCTATAGTAGCTGTTAGGAACCCTAGCATGCTCATGTAGGTCCTGGCATTGATTATGCCAAGTCCTGGAATTGATAATTCTGGAGGAATTGACTGGATCTTGTGCTTTAGTCTCAGTATTCTTTTCTGATAAATGTTGATTTTCGATTAAATGGTATTTAGTAATGCTCCATAAAACACTGTTTGTGGTGAAGAGGTCAGTGAGCTCTCTTCTAAGTTGTTTATCCATCCATGTTCTTGTAGACAACACAGAGTTTGATTGGTGGGGGAAAAGACTTATTGGATTGTTAATGTGATGATCAAAACATTGTCTAAGTAATAGACTATTGCTTTCCTTGATTCCTGATAAAGGAATTTTTGAGAATTTTTGAGAATGATCTGGATGCAGGGCTTAGTCCAAAGGGAAAACCTTTGAAATGAACAATGTCTTTCTAAGATGTCAAACCGGAGAAACTTGAAGTGACGAGTGTGGATGGGGATTTGATTATATGCATCCCTCTTGTCTATTCAGGTTAGTAAATCTCCTTGGTTGATGCTGGGAATAATTGTGGAAATGGATTAAATTTTTATAGATAGGTTCTTTAAATATATACCAGCATTTGTTTCCTTCAGATCTATGATCAATCTTCATTCCCCATTAGGTTTTGGGGCTAGAAACATGAATAGAGACCCTTGAATCTTTCAAAAGGAGGTACTTCTTCTATTACTCCTTGATGAAGAAGTTTGGAGATGTACTTTGTTACGGTATAACCCGGTATAGTGAGGGTTAATACCGATTCGGGGATTCACCTTCACAAGGGAACATCAACTCACGAACGCTCTAACCCACCGAACGGGAAACATACGAACTCCTTCTCTCCTGGAACAGGCACAAGTAATACTCCAAAGTAGCAACCCCCCCAATCACAAGACCAAGCTCCGTATTGAGGGTAAAACAGGATTCTGATTTATTGAGGGCTACTTGCCCGGTATTTATGCAGGTCTTCCACCTGGTGGACACTTCCCTAGGTGACCAGATAGAAGACTGGGCCAATCACAGTGGCTCAGACATGAACACTCCCCTTTAGATGAGCAAAACCCTCCTCTCTATCCTGGAGATAATTGGGAAGAAATCCAATTATCTCCATGGATAGAGGCAAAACGCCATTTTACATGGGACAATAAAAATACATAAAAATGAATAACTGTGAAACTACTGAATGCATTTAACGTATCCCCAGACAGCCTAGATCTGAGCGCACATTATTACCGAATGGCGCTCAGATCCAATACACACAGTCCAATCGCCATGAAGCTAAAGTCTTTCACACTGCTCTTTCGGTATACGAAGGTCTTCATGGGATGGCTGTCTGGGTTAAGTCCATTCATGTAATAAAAGTCCCGAATGGACCGGCGTTCGTATGCTAGATGACAAAGAAGGGAGGTCGGCGGCTTCAGCGGTGTTCGAGAGAAAAGGTGTCCA